TGTTCAATAAAAATCGATCCATGATTTAAAAAAAGTCACAAAATTAACAAATTTTCTATATAAAAACGACGAACACGAATACACGATAGAGCAACACACTACGCGAGACTGGCGGTCATACTAATCCGAAAACAAATTTTATCAAACGTCTCATAAAGTCATGACTATGGTCTAAAAATAAATTTAAACTCATTAATGGTGGTGAGGATAATGCGTCAGAACCGATAACGATAAACAGTTTATCAGTTTTGTGAAGTCGGAGAAAAAAAATTATTTTTGTCTACCGATATTATAGTAATCGGTTTTGTCGCATTACCCTCGCCGCCGTTATCGAGTTAAAATTTATTTTTAGACTAGGTAAATTTCTACGGCAACGCGGCGCCCCTAAAAAGACATCGCGGCGCACCAGGGCGCCGCGGCGCACAGTTTGGGAACCGCTGATCTAAGGTATCACGTCCTCTTATGTATATTATATCAACTGATATAATATTATATAGGGGGACGGAATGGCCGAGAGGACTTTGGCCTAGGTTGCGACTTGCGACGCGTACCATCACGTCGAACCTCGGTCTCGGGCGGCACTTTTTTTCAGGCAGTCACGGTGCTTGGAGAGAGAGGCCGTCATCCCCCACAGGAGCATGGAAAATACCTATACGGGTGCCTACTTGAAAATTCTGCCAAACTAAAATACACGTGCTTACAAAAACCTACAGTACCCTCCCCCACAGTTAAAAATCGCCAAATGGCCCAAGTTTCCGAGGGTTAATTTATATAAAAAAAATATATATATTTTATATTATTATACATGATACGTATGGTATGGATGGGGTGATCAATTTAACTTATAAGACGTTCAATAATCATTATTTCAGAAAACACTAACGTTTTTGAAAATGTGTATTTCTATTACACAATTTAAAGTCGATATTTTAACTATCTTTTAAGTTGTTTACTCTTTTGAATGACAACATACATTTTTATTTCATATTCTGAAGCAAGCTATTAATAGGAGTATTTCGATCTACAAAAGTCAAATTTAGGTCAAGTAGCTTAATAGTTCTAACTTATAACTCTTAGGGCCGTTCTTACGACGTCCGGTTAAAGTTAACTGACACTTAACCGGAAGAATTCTGCCGGTAATAAAATCTGTTATCAGTCGGTTAGCGTTAACCGATACTTTACAGGACATGGTAAGAACGGCCCTTAGAAGTTATAACTTATATAAGTTTCAAGTTTTGATGAGAGGAGTAGTGGACAAGTGGACCGACATTTTGCGGGGTAAAGTTTAAAGAGCAAACCCTACACAATTTTTTTTTAAATGTTTTTTAAATAATGATTGTATTAAGTTGAATGGATCACTGAGTATATAATATTATACATATTTAGACAAACTTTAATAATTAATTAAATTTAATATACTACTTGTTCGAGATAATATTATTTATAAGTATATTGTACTATTATATTTATATGGGTAGTTTTCCCGGGACTATAAGTTTCAGGCAAATTTAATTAAATAAGAGCAGTACGCCAGTACCCATACCTAAAAGTCTTCTATATCTATAGACTATAGAGTATAGACTATAAGACTACCAATATACATTTGTATACCACATGTTCACATATTACGAACATATTACTATTATTTACTGTATTTTTAATTTATATGATATTCGTAGTAACATAAAAAAATTGTCGATATAAAATTGACAGGGGGGGGGGGCGTGCCCCTCCCCTGAATCCGTCACTGTCAGTACCTATAGCTTTTATTCGAAATTAAATTTGCACAGCCAGACGATGTATTATAAATTTACTAAAATATTTTTTCAATATTTAAGTGGATTGAAAGCGGTGATTGCTGATTTTCCAAGTTGTGTTCCATTTCCAACAGTAGGCCTATACGGTTATAAATTTATTATAAGAGTATACTTATTTAGAACAATTAATATCAAACAAAAGTTAATGTATAAAACAAAAAACATTTTATGAAATAATTTTTTTTCTTGCTTTACTTGAAGCCAACTCTCTTAGTACTTTATTTAAGTCTAATGATTTTAACAAATCATTCTTAGAATATAAAATCATTTGTATGTCTAAGTTTTCTTAGATTTGACTGGTTCTATACTTATGTTTTACTCTAGTTAATTTAGAAAAAGCTCTCTCCGTACATAAATAACATTATTAACTATTGATGATATTATTGATGTCAATGAAAATATTAAATAACAGTAAAATGCGACTTTTCTACCATAGTGCTTTTGTAGGTATTTATTATATAGTTGTTTTTGTCGATAAAAAAAATGGTTTTTAAAATATAGAAAAACTATTCTTTAAAATCACTGAAAATGTGTATCAGCTTAAAATTATTGTTTGGGATCCTTTCATTTTGGTACTTGAGAGGACCACGGGGCTTCCGCCCAGACTAGACCCCCCCCCCTTATTCCGCCCTTGTGGTCGGGGCTATACATGGCGTATTCCGCAGCGGAAAACGCAGCATATTCGATGAATACTCGTAAGATTGTAAGAATATATTATTTTTAACTCATTATTGTCATTTACGAATATTTAATTGGGTTATTATTATATTTTATATATTCACATTTGATAATCACCGTAATCGGCAAACGTCGAACAAGTTACCTATATCTAGGTAACAACTAACAATACATGGGTACGCTTGGAACTTAGTTGGATTTATCATTTATCCCATCTCTGCTCTTGTTAAACAATTATTTCAGTACCTACCTGAGGGTTTCGGCCGTTGTTTTTCGTTTGATTTTTTACAATATTTTTAATAGTAAACCATGACTACTTGCGATTGTTAAAATTACAAGTTATAGTATTAAAATTAATTTTATAATTATGTCTAAAACATTATTTGACATTTTTGACAAAACTATTTTAGATTAATATTTGAAAATAAGATATCCATAATCCATGAATGAGTGTTCGAATAAAATTTAGTAGGTATGTACAAGCTTCTACAGGTGGCCTTAACATTACCAATGAGTTCAGCCATATATGATCGCTCTCATCTAACCTATTGTTATTAGTATATATTTAGGTAGATGGGTTGAAGCCTTTTTTTTCTGATTGATCGATGCCTATTTTTTCTTGTAATTATAACAGATTGCTGTTTTTTATTTAATTCAAATGCGAGATATTCCAGATCTTACGGGGATTATATAAAACACATTTTGCGAGATCTCTCAACGTGTTCTGTAATCGGTTGTTCAGTTATTTTACTTTTAGAGGATGAGACCGGAAAACCGTGTAGGTATTTTGTGTATATGTATTAGTAGGTAGGTATCTACCTATGTGGTCTTTTACCTATGTAAAAATGTAAAATTGTAAACCGATCACCGAAAAAATAAATCGTTCGACGGTTGAGCATGGTAGTATGAATGATGGTGTAAGGAAGAGGGGTAAGTGACGCCGCGACGGTTAAATATTGTTTTCTGAATATTCATGTAGGGACTATAAAAAATTATAACTACCGCGAAGAGGGTTTTTCAAAACGACCGTTAGTCGTTACGCGCTTTACAGTTTACACCGGTCGCCTGTGTGGTGCCGGGCCCGGATGTCTGGCGGCAAACGCGATATTACAGTGTTACCACTATGGCGAGCGTACACCAGGGTAATGTCGCACTGGTGGTTCATCGCGGGTAACCGGCGAACGGCCGCCGCCAAAACGACCAAAATTCAAAATCGTGGCTAAACTTACATAGAGTTACGTACTACCGCTGGTCTCATATTTTGTTATGTTGGATGTCCTTAATATTCATCATGAACACAGTTTTTATTCCCTTAACGTTGTTTTAAAAAGTCAACTGATAAGAAATGTAAGCAAATAATTGCGACTTTCCTCCGACTAAGAACTAAGTTCCCGCCATTTTTAAAAAATACGTAAACTGTATTTCATATTTTCTCAGACCACAGGCCCTAGGGTTTTTTCTCAATGTACAGAAGTTAGTAATACACATTTTGACCACACAAATAATGATGACTTATTTCAAGATTATTTTTTTCAAATTAATTATAAATTATGATATAACTTTTTCGTGTTCCGTCAACTATAAACATTATTGGCCGTACAACAATTGTTTATTGAAACTGATGATTTGTGTGAATATGTTTATTTTAATATGGCAGAAATAGTGTATTGCAGATATGGGTATACGAAATTTGGTTGTACAGTTGGTCAAGAATAAAATAAAGTTAAATCGACAAATAAGAAAAGAAACTAAAATGTTTTAAAATAAGTGATTATCCAATACTCCAACATAAACTATAATCTCTGACAAGATACTTTAGAGTTAGCTGCTGTCATGAGGCAGTTGCAGTAGATAGTGGACGAAGTGACATTGCAGAAGCTAAAACTTAACGTCAATATTCCTTTTAGCCAATATACCTTTGGAAGGATAAAGGTCTTAAATCTTTATAGATATTATTGTTTAGGTTTAGGCGGTTTAACCCCCAACCGATTGGCCGTGAGAAAGAATAATATTAAAAACGCGAAACGAAACGGTCGCCGCATTGCCGGACTGTCGACGTCCGCGGAGCGCCGCGTCGAGACGGCCGGTCGCACATGGCAACGTCGCAATTACCGTTTAGCCTCCCCGCACCCCGACAACCAGAGATCGAGCGCGCGCTCGGCGGCGGCGGCGTCGTCGTCGCCACTCGCCGTTGTCTATACGCTATCGTTCGCCCGCCACCACCTCACCCGCCGCAAACTCATCACGCACACACACACACACACACAGACACGGACTAGCACGACACACCGCCGCCGTTCATTTCGTATTTTATCCGCTCGTTGGTACTTGGTTTTGGTGCGCCGAAATTTTCGCGGTCCGCCACTAGTGAATTAACCGTCGTCGACCGTCTGCCGACGCAATCGTTTTTTTTTAATCTTTTATACATTTTTACACGGTTTCCCGCGAGGCAACTGAAAACCAATTCACAACGACGACGACACCGACTCCGAAACAATCATCATCATGTCCGACGTGTCCAAGGAAACGCTGAAGAAAGAGATCGCCGGTAATTATTATTAAACGTGCACTACTATTCGACCGTGTTATGCTCTGCAACGGTTTTTCGCAATGTTCCGTTTGTCGCTTGGTTTTTCACGATACGCGTCGGTTTCCGTTTGATACCGCGCGATCATTCGGGGCTGCTCGTGTGATGGTTGACGGCGGGGCCGCTCGTTTAAATCGTCCATCCCGATGCCCCGTTCCCGCGCGCGCGTCCGGTGTTTGTGTTCGGACGCTTTTTTACCGGCCGTCCATTCGTAATATCTATCCTTTTTTTGGACCGTTTGCGACGGCGATTTTATCGGCAATATTCCGAACGCGACGCGCCGCCGGCCCGCGTCCCGACGGCGTGCCAATGGCGTCGCCGGTGTCAGGGATTTTTGGTTCTCCCGGCCGTCGGCTTGACAGTTTTGACGGCCTTTCCGTGCAAATACATTTTTTCCTGCCGATTTTCCGTCTTGTCGTTTTCCGCGCGGGGGCCGAATTATTGTTATAAATGACTTAATGACGTCCGCCGTCGACGCGCCGCCGATTTCCGCTAGATGGCGCCCCTTCCGACCGAGGTGTAAACAAAAGCGGCGTCCTAAAAATTAAACCGTCGGCGGCGACGCTACCGTTCCTGTTCCACGGCCGAATATCTTAATGATATTCGCTTCCACGGCTACGCCGCCGCCGCCGCTTTTTCGGTTTTTGAAACGTTTTCCATCATCGTTAACAAAAAAATATTGCCAATTTTGCCCATTATTAATGTTATGTTGTATTCATATTAATAATTTCATCGTCTGTTGAAATTGTATTTTTACTTATAGGCACTAAAAACGGTTTTAAACTATAGTTTGCTGATTATTGTAATTTATGTAGATTATACTATAGGCTCCCATAGAGTTTGGTTTCTTTTCAATAGATTACTAAAATTAATATATTTTTTTTTTATAAAAATTGTAAATGTCGGTATCTATTTTTATTATTATGTTTTTTATTTATTTCATCATCATAGGATGTTCAATGTAATCTATGTGCCTATGAATGGAGACTTTACACACTGTAGTACCATACCCACATCATCTAAATCATAATATTATGTTCATTAGTTTCAAATTCTGTTGATTTAATGATTTTAAACTTTTGTTGATCAAATCTTCATACCTATATCGTAATTAGTTATCCAAAATGAAGTGGTCCTGAGTTGTTACTAAGGTTTTTTTTTAACTCCCGGGACTAACTTTTTTAAATTTAATATTGTAAAAAATTGGGATATTGACGTCCCGCTTTATTAAAAAGCGGGATTTGGGACACTAAAATAAAAATTATATTACTCATACTCTGTGTTGTACTTATTTAATGTGATAGTCAATAAGGTAGGTAGTAGTAATAGTCTATAAGATAAGATTTAACTAAAGCTTTAGCCGAACACATGTATTTCCCATAATCTATATAACCTTTAAAAAGTAGTTATAAAATCTAAAAACAAATGAATATTATCCTGCTCGCTTGTATGACGGGACACGGGACATATCCCAATCCTGGTTGTGACCATTATTCATTCCAGCACTCTTATTATACTGTATATGTTCTGATTTTGAAATTGTTTTTTTTTAGCTCTCCTAAAATCGGCAGATTTGACAAAAACCTCTGCAAAGAAAATTAGACAGGAACTTGAAAAAAAATTAGACGCAGATCTCGATGATCGGTAATATATTTTACTTTTGATTGAAAACAATTCAAATTATTTACTTATATTTATATGATTGTTATTATGTAGGAAAAAGGAAATAGACACATTAGTAATGGAAGCTATTAAAAAAGCTAAAGCCACCAAAAAGAATGGCAAAGGTGATAGTGATGAGGAGAATGACGATGACGATGATGATGCAGAAAATGATGATGAAGATGAAGAGGAGGAAGAAGAAGAAGTGAAACCAGCCAAAAAAGCAGCAGCCCCTAAACGTAAGAAGGCTGATAGCAGTGATGAAAGTGCTGGATCTGATGATGTAAGTAGTAATTCATCTTAATGAATAGTTTTTCATTATTTTAAATAATTTCTACAAATTTAATCTCGTGTAGGACGATGGTGACAAAAATGACGGAGACTATAGCCCTAAAAAAGGTACCCCATCTAAAAAGAAGGCCCCAGTGGCTAAACGGGGACGTAAGAAGAAGGATGATAGTGACAGTGATGAAGACTGGAAAGGAGCCAAAAAAGGAGCAAAAAAAACTGGGGTACAAATTTAACATATTACTTAATAAATCATTTATTATGTTAAATTTGTATTAAATGACAATTTAATTATTACAGGCCAAACGAGGAGGTAATAGTGGTTACACAAAATCAGTAGCACTTAGTCCTGAACTTGCTTCACTCATGGGATCTGAAGCTTTACCACGTCACGAAGTTGTTAAAAAAATGTGGGCGATCATTAAAGAGAGAAATCTTTATGTAAGTTTTACAATAAATTCTAAGATTATAAACAAAATTATATTCCTAATATAAATTTGTATTTTTAGGATCCATCTAACAAACAATATGCTATTTGTGATGACGATTTGTTGAAAGTTATTGGAGTTAAACGTTTCAGAACTTTTGGTATGATGAAGTTCTTAAAAAATCATTTTATATCATAACTGTTTTATGTACTAGAAAAAATGTTTACTGATATATCCTACTCCCTCCCTCCCCAATATCTTCATTTATCTTAAAATTATGTTTACCCTTTGTGTTTCTTCAATATTTGTGGAAGTTCATGGTAATTTTTTTTTTTATCAATGAGAAACTGTTTCTCAAGTATTATAATTTTTCATTCCTAAAAAAAAAATTTAATTAAATGGTCTTGGCATGCAATTTAAGTTGATGTCATTTTGAGTGAAATATATTTTTTTTTAAACTTTTTTTTTCATACTTTGCACACTTGCTAGGTATAAATATCTAGCTATAAATGTTTGAATGTATAAACGTATTTGTAAACAATTATAACAAGCATTTTTGTGTTTTTAGAATACTTTTACAATAATTTTAAGACATTAATCTACATCATAATTTTATTATAATTAATTTATAATTGAATAATAATAACTTAATGCCTATGATGTTGTTTTCAATCTTTGAATTTTGTTAAACAATTGTTTGTGAACCTTATAGTTGAGCACTTAAAACTGTTTATATCATCATACTCTAGAGCTGCATAGGGCTTGTTTTTAAACCGTACGGACGAATGAGAAACTGACTGATTGGTGTTGGTGGCTTTTTCACTCATAGTGTTACTGCCAACATCACACAATTTAGTTTGCACTTGAACTGATTTGTAGACATCAATAGTTTGTGCACTTCGAGTTTCTACTTTTGATGTTGTATTGATAGTGTCAATTACTTTCTTATTCATACATTTTTTTATTTCCTTTGTTTTATGGATGTTTTTATTTATTGCACTTGTGCCGTTTGGATAAAATGCTGTTTGCACTTGTGCATCCTTGTACTTGTCCTTTTCACTCATTCTATACATGTATAGATTATAAATTTAGCATTCTATGATAGTTATAGAATGAAGCTACTTACAGTTCATTGGAATTGTGTTGTATTTCTGCTATTTGTTCATATAAGTGGAAAAATGATAATAAATGTGTTTTAGACCTCATTATGTTTAAAAAATGGTACAAATAGCTGCGGAAATATTATATTTGTATTAAATATGTAATCTATAATTTATTAAATTATAATATAATAAATATTGATAAAATTATATAATATAATTATGCCATTATGGTATTGAGACCCTCAAAAAACTAGCTTAACCAGGTTCACAATGGTTATGTAGATATTTTAGAACAATTTTTTTTAATATCTTATAGCTTATAAGATAAGTATCAAGATAATAAATTAACATTTTAGATTTTTTTTAACCTGTAATAAGTTTTGCAACAACTTACTATGTTGGTTTGGTACCAAAATGTAGTGCTGCTTGGATACTTGCAAAGCCAAACCATTCATCAGCATACTGTATTACACCTATGCTTTTGTCATGTTTTATTAATGTTCCATCGGTTTCGACTATCATGACCACACAATATCCATCTGCCTATATAAATATCTATTTGATTATTATTTAAATTTGTATACAATGTTAAACATTTACAAATAAGTTCCTTCTATCATCTGTGCTGGTCGTAGGTGGATGCCATTCACACATGGGATGTAATGGATATGTTTCAATAATTGTATACAGTTCTTCAGTATCTGTTAGAATTGTATCCATGATAGACATATTATTGATACCCTCACTAATATTATTTATCTAAAAATAACATATATTGCCAAAAATTTTTTTTTTTGCTTCTATAATAAAAATTACTTCATTTGTTAACTGTTTCATGGTCAATAATAAATTACATGTAATGCTCAGGTGATTCATAATCCCTCTAATTTCACTCCAAATAATTGTTAAATTGTTGAGTTCTGGCTGCAAATGACATTTAATTTTAACTTAATTTTACTGGTGTTTATGTATATAAAAACAATTTAAACTCAAATTAAATTGCACAGCAATCAAGTCATAACAATTCAATATGTATTCAGAATCTAGTACTCACACAGATTGTATCCTCACCAAAGTCATTTGAATCTTTTAATTGTTTTATTTCTTTCAATGTTATGTTGAATTTAATGAGTAATGCGGGCAATTCAATTTTTAATTTATTTAAATCTTTTTTAATTATTCTAAAAATGTAATTATGACATGTTAATATTTAAATATTTTATGTGGTTAATACTTGCATTGACATACTCTAAATTTTTCTGGTACTGTAGATAAAATACCAATACAGTTTTATAATCGTTCAGTTTTTGTATTGTAACAGTTGCAAAATTTATCCGTATAACAAATATTGGAGCTAAAATCTCAGTGTACACTTTATAGCATTGAAGTATCCATGAAGTTGTCATCATCACTTTTTTAAAACTGTCTCTTAACTCCTGATCAATATTTTTTAGAAGCAAGTCAACTGCATTAGGAAGTGTATCTATCACTAAAAATGTTGAAGGTAAGTATTAGTTCATCCTGGAGATAATAAACAATATAGGAGAATAGAACCTAAAGTGTTCTTTCAGATTTTTAGAGGATATTGTTTTAACACGTATGTGTTTTTCTTTGGAACAAAGTTTCTGGTATCAATTTTGATCTATATAGTTGATGGCGAAACGGGTTACGGTCTTATGTATTGGCAAGTATATTGTATTTACAGGTTGCACTAAATATCAATTAAAAGTGAGCTAATGGTCCCTTAAACAAGAGTTAGTGGCTAGGTTAATCTGTTTGTTTATATAGTATCTAGTTAACAATATAGAAAATACTATCTTTTTTTTGTACTTGAAAGCGTGTTTGAAGTCAACATTTGACCAAATTAGTCAGAATCATGAAAATATGCAAATATATTGTAGTTAAAATCTTATACCTACAAGTTTAATGTACTTAACTCTGAATTCTAATACAGTAATACCTATGCATATTTATGTATTTTGTATGAACTAAAATTGACAGTGATAACCGATAGGTCATAGGTACCTAGTTGAAGTTACTGACTTACAGTAGGTTATAGGCAGTGGCGTGGCCAGCGGTTGGCCCGGTCCTACCCTGATTTTGAACCCTTATAATAGTTTTGAATTATGACTTATAATATACCAACATAGGTGTAGTGAACTGTATTGTCACAAAGTTTTCACCATACTCTGCGTGCGGAAAAAAAAAGTGGGTAAACTTACGGGGAATAGAGTATAATATAGGGACCAAGGGACCTATTATAGGCTATAGCTTTCAACAAAGTTCATTTTAAATATCTATTAGACGTAGAGACTACGTATTTTTTATAGATACCCACATAAGTCATAAATACACATTGTAATTATTAAAATATTTGTCTAATTTTAGGCTACCTAATTCAAAATTAAATACCACATTTGCACTAACCAATACCACCATTATGCGGTATTTACGTAAGAAATTACTAATAACTTATAACTAATAAGTAACAAAAAAAATTGAATATGATATAATTTTATAATGTAGGTAGATACCTATTTAAATATACAATCATTGATAAAATACCTATAGGTAGGTACTAGTTTAGTAAACTACCTATACTCGGTACCCTCGTATAAGTTATAGTAGTTTAATTTATAAGTATCGGCTACTACCTGTATATCTACCTAGTACCTATTATAAAATATTCATAGAAGAATAGAAGATATTTATAGAAGATTTTTTCGTATTAAAGTATTCAACTACCATTTATTATCTGTTACAATGTTACGGTTGCCTATTGAATTACCTATTTGAATTCAAATTTAAAACATCCATTATATTTATTAGTACCTACCTATAGGTATCAATATCATAGGTGACTGCTATGCTTTTGGTAATTACGCTAAGACGAGGTACACTCAAAAGTCGAAGCCTGATATTTTAGGTTAGGTTAGACTGTTAGAGCAAGTTCCCAGATTTTTTTTAGATTGATTTACATACGTACTATCCAATGTTTCTTCTTTAATATCCTTACGATCCATGTTGTAAAGCCAAATGCCACATATCAAGTTTGATATTTCTGTCAATTGGTTAATTTTTAAAGATTGTAATTGGTTATCAAATTCAGATGATTTTGTTTGATTTAAAACGTTATTTAATGTATCTGAAAGAATGAAAGGTTTCCTTACGATTAAATGTCAAATACTGAAATATCTATAGATTACCTATAATAATCTATTATTAATATTTTACAAGTTGTAAATGTTCTAATAGGTTTTTGATTCTTAAAGGTTATAATGGATAATGGTTATATAATACGATTGTGGGTTGCCCTTCATAAGTCACATATTATGACTGAAAATTACCAAACTAGGTTCCAGCTATTTGCCCAAACAGACCACATTTTGGGTCGATTCACCCAAATGGTATAGGTACGTCCTTACGACAATTGCAAACTTTGTCGTCTTATCAGTGGCGCCGAGACAGTATTAAAATAGTCGGGCAAACTTTCCAAAATAGGCAATACACCCACCACGTACCCCAAAAAATTTTTTACAAATTAATGGGGGGCTCTGCCCCCCATACCCCCCTTAATAATATTCCTCTATTTACAATAACACACATTTTTATATATTTCTTTAAAAATTATTTAAATATATTATAAAAATTAATAATATAGGTACACATAACTTGAAACAGTTATAATACTGTAATAATATAAGTTACTAATAATTAATAATAGAATTTCACAAATAAAATATTAATAGTAGTAGGTAGTTATAAATTATAATATAATAAAATAGATAGTTAATAAAATAATTTAAACTTTTAAATAAATAATTTTTATTTATTTTAATGATAATCACAGTAAAGAGTAAAATATTCACTAAAAACAAATTTACAAAAAATAATTAGATTATTTTAGTATTTAAATTTTTTATTTAAAACTGTAGATTTTGTCGCAAAGTTGTCTATTATTGTTTCTGAATCTAACTGTATATCAGCTTCACAGGTGATACGCATCAGATCTATCTTCCCCCATTGTGCTTCTTAAACGACTTTTTATTAATTTTAATTTGGAAAAAGATCTCTCTGGGGAACAGCTTGATACTGGAATAGTCACTCCAATTTTTATAAGCATAAAGAAACTTGGGAAAATAGATTTTAGATCAGCTTTACAGAAATCTTGAAAAACACACATTAAACTTGATGAATTTTGCCACCTTTTTAATTGTTCAGATGTAGTATCGTCACTGTTTGAATCGTTAGAGCTCAAACTTGAATTGTCATCATTTAAATTAGGATGCAGATACAGTGGAAAAGTTTCATTAACAATTAAATCACAATTTATAAACTGTTCTACTCCCTACGGACATCTTCTAACTTTAATAATGTATTATATACCAAACAAACAGCCTTAAATGCATCTATAGGAATGCTTTTAGGGTTTTTTTTTTTAATGCTTTTATACGTTTGATTGATAATAAAGCAAAATCTTTCATTACTTCAATAGTTTTATTAGTAAATCTTTGACTAATTTGTGTCTTAATAATATCTAATGCTACAAAATAAGTATCTACCTTAAACTTTTGAATAGGATTTTGTTCAACTTCATCACTACATAATTCCCCATCCATTTTTCTAACTTTACGTTTTTTTGTTGTCCGCAATAGCTCAAATTCCTCATTCTCATACTTATCATCAAATTCTTTAGCTAATATAAAAATATTTTCAAATGTTTCTTCAGTTCTCAGTGCCACTATGGACTCTTTAGCACTATTAACTAAATACATCGCTGCTAAAATATCTATGTCACGAGCTTGTAATGTACGGGTTAATGGTTCAAGTATTTCAAATATTTTTTTAAAACTAAGAGCTGTCATTAAAAACCTATAAGAAGTCAAGTAGCTAAGCAGTCCATTACAATCAGCACCAAGTTTGAAATCTGATCCTCCGTCTATATTTCTTACTTCTTCTATTGTTTGATAAACTGCATCGTAAACATCGAGTACGGTATTTAAGGCATAGGCATGTGACATCCAACGAGTAGTGTTTACACGTTTCACTGATCTTATTTGTTGTTTTGGATAGAGTTCTAATTGTTTTTCTCTAAAAAAAGCTGATCGTGCTTTACTTCCAGTGATAAAAGTAAACATTTTTTCTAAATTTCCTAATAGATCCACTGCATTTGAACAAGATCCTACTGCCTGACTAGCTATTAGGTTTAAACTATGAGCAGAACACCAAATAAATAGGGCTTGAGGATTTTGTTCAAGTATTTTAGCTTGAAGCCCATTGTACTGCCCACTCATGTTTGCAGCCCCATAATATGACTGACCCACTAAATTTGATTTCCAATCAAGATTATGATGATTAAAAACATTTTGAAATAACTCAGAAAGATGAACTCCGGTAGTGCATTGGGATTCTCTTAATGCTAATAATCTTTCCATAACTGTACCATTAGTTTCATTAACATACCTTATGATAAAAGAAACCTGTTCCTTACGGGATATATCAAAGGTAGAATCGAGTGAAACACTGAATATTCTCGATGAAGTAATATCAGATTGAACAATTCGTGATATGTATTCTGAAACAGATTCAATTAAAAGATTTTGGCGATCCCAGGAAATAAAAGATGTATCTTTACGTCCTGGATTTAAAGAATTTATATAGTAAATTTAGTTGTAAAACAATGAATAAAAATGTCTTTTTTAACACATGAAATGTACATTAAAAAATTATAATTAAAAACTTGTACCTACTAATTGTATTTTTTTGTAGGCGAAAAATAATTTAAAATAATTAATTATCAAATTAGTAGGTACCTAATTCAATGAAAGCAATATAATATAATAGGTATACCTAATAGAATATATAAATATATAATATATTTATAACAATTTATATTTTGGGTATAGGTTATAATGGTTATATTAAAAATCACAATAATTCCTACATTTATAGTTTTACTAAATTGATAATTTTAAATTTTAAAATTTTACAAAATTCCAATACATTTTAAAATTATAAGTAGATAAATAATTTTTATAATTACCTGCAGTAAGAGTGTCAGTTGGTAAAATCTCACTGACTGATGGTATTTGAATCTGTTTATCATAATCATTTTTGCCCAACAGATAAAACTTAATTGATATTTATAGAAAAAAAACTAAAACAAATGAAAACTGAAAATGTCCGTAAACAGCTCAAAAAGAATCAAAATATTTTCAAAATTGTATGGTGTATAGAAAATGCTAATTTAAACATTCAGTGAAATTTTCATGTATCTACAGTTGTTCGTTTTTGAATTACAACAAAATAAGGAAATCGCTACATGAGAAATCGAGTGAATATCCAATGTTGTAAAAATTTGAACTTCAAACGTTCATAAAAATTTAATTTGACTTTCTTATAGACATTTTTTTTTTGATAAAGGTAGATAATCTTATAAGGAATCTTGTATTACATTTTCAAATCTTAGATTTAAAAAGAAAAATTTTTACGAATTCTTAACTCAAAATAATTTGCTAATTTTCGTGATTTTTCCATATTTTGTCAATTTTTGAACTTTAAATGCTTATAAAAAAAAAATTGTGACTAAGGATTTTTAATATTTTTCATCTGCCTTTGAAACAATATTATACTAGGAGCCTTCTATAGTTCTATTAAATTGTCAAGCTTTTTTAAGCAACAAATAAAATTAGTTCATTTGTTTTAGAGTTACACCAAAAACCAAAATATTTTTTGGAAAACTGATTTTGCGTAAATATTCCCGTTTTTCCTTAATTTTTGTGTTGTTTTTCCCGGCGCTTGTGAAAACTACTGGGAAATTTTTACTTTTGACCCCCCAAAGTACCAACTAGATTCACTTTCCTATCAGAAAAGATACTGTTGAAGAAAACCCAAGCACATTTACTGTAATAAAACGTGATGACAGACAAAAAAAAAATTAAAAATAAACAAAATTAATAAAAAAAAAAACACACATCATTGTAAAATCAATACATTCATTCAAGAATTTCACTCAGAATCTAATAGACTTTATTTATTTTTCCCGTACATAGATATGATATTATTACATGATATTATTAACATCATCGTCCACGGGCCAACCATTTATTAATAATGATAAGCTATATTAATACAATAAATAAGAATTATCAGAAATGACAATAGTTCGTACTTCGTAGTACCCATACCAACATAATATTAATTATTATATAGGTACATTTATAACAATATTATATAGTTATTTACGCTGTACACATCACACAGGTCTTACTGCATATAATTGGTACCTACCTTATTGCTTATTAGTTAATAGTTATTATATTCTAAAATGGCTAACGGAATTAATTGATTACGTGTTATGAAACAATAATATAATATCTATAAGAAGTATAGCATAATATTATTATTATTTACAACCACCCACTTGACCACCACCACCACCACCACCACCAGCCAAAAAATTTGGTCGGGCGACAGCCCGACCTATACCCCGTGTTCGGCGCCACTGCGTCTTATATATTAGTTGCTATAGTTACCTATACCTACTAAATATTATGGATAATAATTTAAGAGGGTTTGACTGGTTTGAGAGTATATCATGTTTTAAGGATTAATATTTAGGCTGTTCATATTACACGTACCTATATTCTACCTACATTTGAACTGTACCATTGTGTGAGTAGTAAATTAACATTACTGACTACTGTAAACATTACTGTGAAGTGTGAACATTAGGTACTAATTACTATATGTCTATATACGTTCATTGTTCTTTATAGATCAGCAAGGACCCAAGGTTACACATACATATTATAATACAAGTCTACAATTCCAAGAACAATCTCACTCATGCATGCACATGAACAGCTCGGTAATATTTTTAAATATTTTAGAGTGCAAAATTTAAAAACTAAGGAACATTGACTTATAAATGGTGCATAAATTCAGAACTTATCTGACCTAAATTCAGCATACTACAATGAGTTAAACATTAAGACGTGTCTCTTCTTGTCCTGTGTTCTACTACCTATTGTATATGCAATACCTATGCATATTATATTAAATCTACCCTTTATTGCTGAATATGGTCAAAATTACCCTTTGGATCAGATGCTATACTTACTATATACTAACCAGAAATTTCCTGAATGAGAATTGGTGAAGTCGGATCGCCCATATAGTTGGATAAAATGATGAATTGTATTATTTTTTGATAATATGTGCTCATTTTGTTGCCAGTGTGGTCCACGTTTTCTAAAATCTCGTTCAATAATGGTCTAATTTTTTGATCATTTTCTTCATTAACTTTATTTATGATAAATTCTGTGAAATTTTAATGTTGTTAAAAGTATAGATAAATATATGGTCATATTGAGTTAATTAGTTTATTGTATAATTTTTTGTATACCTCTGCTTTTGTAGTCGTGTTCTATGAGTAATTGCATTTTAATGCATAATATGGCTGGGTCCTTATGAACAGATAAACGCTGAACACATTGGTCTATAATTCTGTCCATTGTATTCTTTAATGGCTGCTTTTGTAAATTCTTCACGTTGGGATTTAACAACCAGCATTTAAACTACATTATAATTGTAAGAAACAATATAAAAGTGTAATAGGTATTCTATTTATTTAAATGTTGATACTTATAAATAGGGTTCGGATTTGAAGGCAAATGCCTTTCTTTTATTAATCATAATAGAAAAATAATTTTTATACAAAAATGTGTTTCATTTAATTTCTTAGAGGATGGATCTTTTTTTTTTGCCTTTTTTTGGCTTTTTACTTATAAATGCCTTTTTGCCTTTTTTTTACCTTTTGTACTTATAAATGCCTATTTTGTGTTTAATTTTTCAGTTGATTTTATAATTTTATACACAGCTTGCGTATTATCGTTACAAATGGGTTTTATTATTCGCAAAAGTAGCAATCTTAATTTAGATAATTATTAAAGTATGAAATCGCCCCGAAAACTTCGGTGGACGTAGAAAGATCGTTTTGTACAAAAATATTTTAACCCCTAACCGTAGCCGTTTTTCTGAAGACAGCTTATAAAAATACATGGTAGTCAATTTTTTTTTTAATACAAACTAGTTTATTTTGCATTAAATTAACTGGTATAACTCAAGTAAGTTAATATTTAAAATTGTTTTTAACTAATTCTTAGGAAAAACCTGGTTAAAAAAAAAGGTACCTAATCTATTTATACAAAATAGCATAAACTTAATGTAGTTTAGTATTCATGCTCATTTTTAATTTGTATTTTTCTCAAAATGTGTGCATTTAAAAGTGTTTAAAAAATTTTCACTATTTTATTTTGTAGTATATTTATGAATTGCCTTTTTATATAAATTAAATGCCTTTTTTGCCTTTTTTTACATTTTAAATACTTTTTTTATTGATTATATTGCCTTAAAATCCGAACCCTACTTATAAATTTATAAATAGGTATATTTAATGTAATCTGCTCCGAATGCTCCGATCGTTGTTTATAATAATTGTATATAATTTTTTGTAATTTTTTTTAATATATTTGTACAAAATAAACAAGCTTGCGCAAAGGGCAGTCAGGATAGGCCGTGCCTAGGTACTCGATTATAATTTGTTTATATAATAATATGTAATACAATATTGAATTTAGATATTAGGTAAGAACGTAAAATAAAAATATAGTGATCGGTAACTATATGTCTTATACCTATATATTAAATATTAATCGTTGATTTGGAATTTTGGAAATAACATACCAACGACCTACCGCAGTTATTATAAATAGTTATAATAATGTGTCCTATTCTAACCCAATTATATCTTATTATATTCTTGCTCCTTAGTATGGAAGTGTGATTATATTATATATACTCAATGATTGTATTACTCTTCTGTATTATCTTCAATGATGTATTACTCATATATTGACGAGTTGTGTATTTTTTGGGAATTGAGAAGAGTAGTAAGTACCTGGTTGATAGTGGTAAAAAAAATGTTAACCCCACCCGAATAGTAGGATTTGAACTATTAAGTATTAATTTGAACACTTATATATTATAAATTATATGATTACAAAGTATAAACGTATCCATAGAAAATACAAATAGGTATCTAGTGAAAGAAACTTTTATACTTTTATACTAATGTAAGATGGGTATATACAATTTATCTACGCATTGCTAATAGTAGATAATAATAAGTGGACCCATGTACCTATTTGTTCATAATTTAATCCTAATCGAATGAGTTAAATTTAGGTAGTTATACGTACGAAAAAAATAATTTAATCACCAATTATTTAGA